AGGGCCTGGTGGTGGAGTGGGAATTGTAGGCTTTTCTCGGGAGCAATCCAGGGTGAGTTTTGATTCCTTTGCAAAATTAGAAGTCCTGGACATAAAGTTTTCACTTTTTAAACTAAACTGGGTGCAGCGTGGTTTTTTTTATATACAAAGGAAGATCGCAGCACTTGCTGCTCGTGATGTTGTGAATGTTTTATCCTTAATTTTCATTAATTATTGTCCACGGAAGGAGCTGGCTCCAAGGATGAGCTTAGCACACTGCCTCTTCGTGCTATTTATGCCGTTTGTGACTTGCCACAGGGGTTTTTTTTTTGCAAGATAAGAAGTTATTTCCCCATTTTGCAGGAAGGGAACAAGACTCTTCTGCCCTTCATGGAGTCCTGGGGGTGTGAGATTTCAGGTCAGCTTTTTGTCTGTGCACCCCAAATTCCCTCCTCACCCTCTTCCCCTCCCGGTCCTACAGAAGTGAGCGTTAATATGGATAAAATGCGGCTCTTTTAAAAAAAAAAGTGGATATTTGTGCATTAGATCCCCACTTGCACGGAGTGGACTAAAGCCCTTACACAAGTTGTGCTGGCTAACAGGATTACGTGCTTTGATAACACTAATTACTTAAGTACTCGTCCTCATCCCCTGCTGTGTGGGGGAGAGGGACATGGCTGGGTTTCGGGCAGGATTTTGATCACCCAGCCCCCCTGAAGCTTCTGAAGTTCTCGATGGCTCTGGGTGCACCATGACACAAGTGAGATGTATTTTTGGGGGTGAGTTAGCAGAAAGCAGGGAGATTAGAAAATGGATGATGTGGAGTAATCCCTTGCCTGGCGTGAGGTCTCCCTCCTCTGTGTTTCTGCATCCCCAGGTTGATGCAGCCCTGAGGAAAGGGACTTGGGGGTGCTGGTGGAGGAGAAGCTGGACATGAGCAGGCAGTGGGCACTTGCAGCCCAGAAGGCCAATCCCATCCTGGGCTGCATCAAAAGCTGCGTTGCCAGCAGGTCCAGAGAGGGGATTCTGCCACTTTACTCTGCTCTGGTGAGACCTCACCTGGAGTATTGTGTGCAGGTCTGGAGCCCTCAATACAAGAAGGACATGGACCTGATGGAGGGCCACGAGGATGATCAGGGGGATGGAGCACCTCTGCTCCGAGGACAGGCTGAGGGAGCTGGGGTTGTTCAGCCTGGAGAAGAGGAGGCTCCAGAGAGACCTTATAGCAGCCTTCCAGTACCTGAAGGGAGCCTACAGGAAGGCTGGGGAGAACCTGTTTAGAAAGGGCTGCAGTGACAGGACGAGGGGCAATGGCTTCAAGCTGGAGGGGAACAGATTTAGACTGGAGATGAGGAGAAGGTTCTTCACTGGGAGGGTGGTGGAGCACTGGGACAGGTTGCCCAGGGAGGGGGTTGAGGCCCCATCCCTGGAGATATTCAAGGAGAGGCTCGACGAGGCCCTGGGCAACCTGGTCTAGTTGGGGGTGTCCCTGCTGACTGTGGGGGGGTGGGACTAGATGGCCTTTGGAGGTCCCTTCCGGCCTGGACAACTCTATGATTCTGTGATTCTATGATGCTGGTCCCTCTGGCATCTCCAGAGGGGGATTTTTCTCCCCCAGGCTGGCTGCAGCTCGACTGGCAGAGACACAGCAGAGGAGAAGCCGGTTCCTTATCGTGCCCAGGCTCCTGGTGGGAGTGGAGCCGTGCGAAGCCAGCGAGGGAACTTACATAAAAGTTCTTGGCTGCTCCCATCGGCGTAGCCTCATATTTTATCTTGCATAACTCGGCTCGCTAAGGGCTACCAAGAAAAGGCAAAGCAGACCATGCCAGGAGCTTTGCATGGATCCCTTCTTCGTGTGACGGGCTCTCCTGGTCGCATCCATCTCCATAAACTCTTTATCCTGGCTTCTGGGGGCTTTTGGCTCCGGCGTCGGTGGCCGTGTTTGAAGGCCTGGGATGATGGGGAGCTGAAGGATTCCTAGTGCTCTCATCTCTTCCTTATAAATCCTGTGACCTTCAAGAGCTTTCTTGGAGTCGGATGGCAGATGCTAGGACAAGTGCCCAGTTTGGAGAAGTACTTAAAAATCATTTTCCAAGTCACTCAATGGCAGGGAGTCCCAAAGCCTCCGTTGCCCCTCGCTCCTTGTCCCTTGCCCACATTTCCACCCAGCTCTTCTTGGTCTCCTTCATTCCAGATGAACCTATTTATGTCCAACCCACAGCTTTCTTCTGCCGGGCAAGCGCTGCCGTCATTGCAGGCGGGGAAAAATATATGAAATTCTGCAAAATGTGGAGTTTTTCATCGGTAAGGAGAGGGGTCACTTCTTTATTTTCTTTTGGCTGTAGAAATGAGCAATATCTACAGTAAAAAAAAACCCCTAGTTGTCCAGCCTGTGTTGGTATAAGCAGGGGTCTTGCTTAAACCTCTTTAATTAGTGGCTCCTGCGCCGCGTGTGCCCTGGACCGTTGAAGGCATGTGGGGCTGGGCCACTTAGATCCTACCCAGTGGAGCCAAACTTCCAAAAAGCCACCGATGAAAGAGGGGCCACCTTATTGCGGGCACCGTCTCCCCTTTCATTAGAACCTGCTCTTGTTCTCCTCTGTCCTACATTTTCGCCTTATTTGAAAATTAGATGTTCGCCTGCAAAGAATCTCTTGTGCTGCCTTCTCTGCTTTTCCTCTCTGCCCCCTGGGTTTCCCAGCGAAATAACTGCTCTATTTGCATTTAAAAGAGCTGGGTTGCGTTCCCCTCAGTCGCTCTATTATTTGACCACCACTATATTATTTGACCACCTCTATTTGCCTGTTAAATCCCACCCGGTTTGGCATTTGGGGCTTGTCTTTACTGGGTGATGGGGAAGGACATCAGCTTCGTTTGCGTAGCAGATATTTTTTTTCTTCTCTAGCTGGCTTGCAGTTAAGTGCCAATCTTGTCTTTCACCGTGTGACACGATGGCATCAGAAGCAGGAGATGTGGAAGTGATGGGAGATTATCTCCTGAGTGGGTTTCCTTCCACACAGTGTGTGTTGGAGGTACCACCTACTCAGAAGCAGACTGGCACTGGAATTGTTAAAATGGCTGTAAAAGGCTCATTTTCCTTCCAGATTTTGGGGTAAGCTGAGGGATGCCCAGCAAGGATCAGGCAGCCTGTCCGTCTTTCCGAGATCTTATGGACAGTGGTGCCTCCAAGACCTTTTCATGGCCTGGTCAGGGTTGAAAGGGAAAGGCTTATTTTCCTTCCAGATTTTAGGGTCAGCTGAGGGATGCCCAGTAGGGATCAGGCATTCTCTCTGTCCGAGGTCTTATGGAGAGTGGTGCCTCCAAGACCTTCTCACATAATGATCAGGATTGGAAGGGAACCTCTGGAGATCATCTTGTCCAACCTCCCTCCCAGGGTCACCCGGAGCAGGTTGGACAGGATCGTGACCAGGCAGGTTTGGAATATCTCCAGAGAAGGAGAATCCACAACAGGGAGACTCAAAGAAGTTTCCTCATTTTGAGATGGAATTTCCCATGTCCCAGTTTGTGCCCATTGCCCCTTGTCTTGTCCCCGGGCACCACTGGAAGAGTCTGACCCTGTCCTCTTGCTCCTCACCCTTTAGATGTTGATGAGCATTGATGAGATCCCCTCTCAGTCTTCTTTTCTCCAGGCAGAGAGCCCCAGGAGATGGATCAAGGAGGTGCTCCAGTCCCTCATCATCCCTATAGCTTCTGCTGGACTCCCTCCAGCAGTTCCCTGTCCTTCTGGAACTGGTGTGCTCAGAACTGGTCCCAGTGCTCCAGATGGGGCCTCCCCAGGGCAGAGCAGAGGGGCAGGATGACCTCCCTGGACCTGCTGGCCACCCCAGGAGACCACTGGCCTTCTTGGCCACCAGGTTGCATTGCTTCTTCATGGTTTTGGGGACGTGTCCCCAGGGCCAGGAGGGTACCTGCAGCAGGGGAAGAGGCTTTTTGGGGGGCTGTATGTGCTACCAGAGCCTGTGGCACCCCAAGGAACCCACCCCAGCATGGGGGTGGCCGTGATGGCTTCACTCCTGCTCCGTCCTGGGGATGTTGAAAGGACTGAAACCAGAAGGTTGAGGAGATGCTGGTTAATTGGAGATATTTTGAGGAGGAGTCAGACTCTGGGACCTGAGATGATTCCTGTGATAAGATATGTGGGGTGTGGGAGCTACAGCAGCTGGGTCACGCTTTTGGGGCTGTTTGACAGGATTTTACTTGCAGTTTTTTACCCAAACATCCAGGCGTCCTTCCTGGAATTCATTTTAAACCAAGACACTTGAAATATTATGCAGGGGTTGTGTGTTCTCCAACTTTTTTTAAATGAGCCAGGCCCAGTAGATGGTAGATGAGGAAGTGTGATGGTTCTCAATTGTAATTATTATTTTTGTTTCATATTTTGTTTCATTTCCTTTGTGCTAGAGCTCACCTTCTCACAAATACTACAATGGCCAGGCATGAAAATAATAAGGGCTTTTGATGGGGTGTTTTTCTATTTCGATTTAAAACCCAGGGAATGTGTTGCAAATAGATGAAGCCTTAATTTGCCTTAAATGTTGGATTTACCGATTACTGAGCTTTTTTGATGTCCCGAGAGGTGCGAGGCTGTTGCAGAGTTTGTGCTGTTTCCTGAGAAAGTGAGAATTGTACATCTTGGTCTTCCTCCTACCTTCAATCCTGGGAACTGGTGGGGTTTTTCTCCTGGTTTTGCTGATATTTGCATGCGGCCCCGTTTTAGCGCAACCTGACGAGGACAACTTCTCCCCACCGAACGAGGAGATGGCTCCGGTGCCCGCGGTTTTCTGTGGATACATATGGCATTTTGTCTGCATAGGGTGATTTTTTAAACACTCTGAGGGGTGTACTCGCTCTTTCTGGCAGCACAGCTTTGCTTCTTTCAGTATTTAAGAGCATAATTTCCCTGAAAGTACGTTTTCTGACTATACGCTCGTCTCGAGGCTTGGAAGGAAAGCCTCCTGCTGAAAAGACTGTAATTCTTTTTTACCCCCAAAAGAAAAAAAAACCAGAAAAGAGACATGTTGCTAACTTCTTCACTTCCATTTCCAGCTGTCCCATTTCCTCCCACGCAGCGGCTCACTCTGAAGGAGGTGTTTGAGGATGGGAAGCCGAGGCTTGACGTCTTGAAGAGCCACTTGGTAAAGGAAGGGCGGTTGGAAGAGGACGCGGCGCTGAAGATCATCAACGATGGGGCCGCCATCCTTCGGCACGAGAAGACCATGATTGAAGTGGAAGCTCCCATCACAGGTGAGAGAAGTTTCTCCAGCTGGAATCCTAAATCAGGACCATGTAGGAAATGAGAAAACACCAGAAGGCTGTGCCACCACCCAGTGAGACCTGGACAGGCTGGAGAGTTGGGCAGAGAGAAACCTGATAATATTCAACCAGGGCAAGTGTAGGGTCCCACACCTGGGGAGGAATAACCCACTGTACCAGGACAGGTTGGGGGTGACCTGCTGGAGAGCAGCTCTGAGGAGGAAGACCTGGGAGTCCTGGTGGACAACAGGATGCCCATGAGCCAGCAATGGGCCCTGGTGGCCAAGAAGGCCAAGGGCATCCTGGGGGGCATGAGGAAGAGTGTGAGCAGCAGGTGGAGGGAGGTCATCCTGCCCCTCTGCTCTGCCCTGGGGAGGCCCCAGCTGGAGCACTGGGACCAGTTCTGGGCTCCCCAGTTCCACAAGGACAGGGAACTGCTGGAGAGGGGACAGCAGAGGCTCCAGAGATGAGGAGGGGCCTGGAGCATCTCCCTTCCGAGGAAAGGCTGAGGGACTTGGGGCTTTTGAGTGTGGAGAAGAGAAGGCTGAGGGGGGATCTGATCAACACCTCTAAATACTGAAAGGGTGGGTGTCAGGAGGATGGGGCTGGTCTTTTTTCAGTGGTGCCCAGGGACAGGACAAGAGGAAATGGGCACAAACTTGAGTATAAGAAGTTCCACCTAAAGATGAGGAGGAACTTCTTTGCTGTGAGGGTGGCAGAGCCCTGGCAGAGGCTGCCCAGAGAGGTGGTGGGGTCTCCTTCTCTGGAGACATTCCAACCCCCCCTGGACACGTTCCTGTGGGACCTGCTCTGGGTGGCCCTGCTCTGGGAGGGGGTTGGAGGAGATGATCTCCAGAGGTCCCTTCCAACCCCATGTCATTCTGTGAGAAGTGCTTAGAGAACCAGGCTTTCTGCTGTCTTCCTTCATCAGCCAGGCTTTTTTTAATTGCCTGAACTCTCAGCAAGAGGGGGTTTTGCTGGTGTAGGTCGAGCACATCTTTGCAGAAGGTGGATGTGAAGCAGGGTCAGAGCACGGCCACGCTCCCCTCCTTGTTGCTGCCATGACCTTTCTTTTCTTAGCATGTAATTCTTGTCTCTCTTTTGTGCTGTTCTCCCTCCCCCAGTGTGCGGTGACATTCACGGGCAGTTTTTTGACCTGATGAAGTTGTTTGAAGTTGGAGGATCACCCAATAACACCCGCTACCTCTTCCTGGGAGACTACGTGGACAGAGGCTACTTCAGTATAGAGGTGACAAATAAAGCTCAGCCTGGGGGTGTTGGTACTAAACGAACCAAAACCCTTGAACTAAACTGGCAAACACAGATCTCCTGCTGGATTTTATGCTCTAGTCTAGTTTTGCCCTCAAGGAAGGACATGTAGGTAACTTACAGTGTGATTTTGGGCAGAAATGTCACGATTTTCACTTGGATCCTCCCCCAGTGACAAAATTAAACAGCAGCAGTGGGGTTAATGACTAAACTCCAGCTTCTGAACTCGAGTTTTAATATCACTTGTAGCTGTCAGTCAGGGGAACAAGAGGCAGAGTTGATTGTATGTTGCAGGCAACGGGATCCTACCAGGCAGTGGGAAGCAAATGTTTCAAAACTCACAGGATTCAGCTTTGCAGGAGGAGAAAAAAAAAGCTTTACGTGACTGAGTCACCGCTTCCCTACCGTCCCCCTGAAAGCATCGACCTGGCAAAGCCCAGAGATGGGGTCAGGAAAAAGGAGCAATAAATCATCTGGGCTCTTGTACCTCTCACTGTGACCCAGGAGCTTATTTAATTGCGTGTCAAACCACTCTGTGACAATCTGCTTTGTCACAACAACGCTGTCACCTTACAGCCATCAGCCAAACAGCTGGTGGAGCGTTAGGATTTTTGGGGAGGGACTCTTGATCAGGGAGGGGAGCCCTAGGACGAGAGGAGGAGGGTTTTAAACTCAAAGAGGGGAGATTTAGGTTTGATAGGAGGAGGAAATTTTTTGGTGGGAGGGTGGTGAGAGCCTGGAACAGGTTGCCCTGAAAAGCTGTGGCTGCCCCATCCCTTGATAGGAGGAGGAAATTCTTTGGTGGGAGGGTGGTGAGAGCCTGGAACAGGTTGCCCTGAAAAGCTGTGGCTGCCCCATCCCTGGAGGCGTTCAAGGGCAGGTTGGAGGGGGCTTGGAGCAACCTGGGCTGGTGGGAGGTGTCCCTGCCCAGGGCAGGGGGTGGAATGAGATGATCTTTAAGGTCCCTTCCAACCCAAACCCCTCTGTGAAGGTGCTGCTGTGTCTCCTGCAGCGTGTCTGGGCTCAAGGCGGTGCCAGGGGCTGAGATGTGCTCCTGCTTGTGGTGCTGCTGGAGCTGATGTTTGGGATGGGACCAGGCTGGCAGGAGATGGGGTGATCCCTGGGTGCTGCAGCACAGTGGGGGGGGCTCTGTGGGCTGCTGCCAGGTCTGGGGGACTTCTTACAAGGGCAGGTAGTGACAGGATGAGGGGTGATGGCTTCAACGAAGAGGGGAGATTGAGATATTGGGAAGAACCTCTTTGGTGTGAGGGTGGTGAGAGCCTGGCCCAGGTTGCCCCGAGAAGCTGTGGCTGCCCCATCCCTGGAGGGGTTCAAGGGCAGGTTGGAGGGGGCTTGGAGCAACCTGGGCTGGTGGGAGGTGTCCCTGCCCAGGGCAGAGGGTTGGAACTGGATGGTCTTTAAGGTCCCTTCCAGCCCAGACCATTCTGTAATTCTGTGAAAGGTGGCAAAACTGGCTTGAAATAGCAAAGTAAGCTTTTTTTTCTTCAAAGAGGGGAAGGTGCAGGAATAGCTGAGCTGTTGGGTCCGCAGAGGGATTTTTTCTCAGTTAAATTTTGAGGAGGAACTCTGGCGGATAGCGATGAAGGCAGTTAATGCCAGTTCTTCTTTGAAGGATTCTGCAGAGGATTTAGGAAGGTACCGCCGACAGCTTGGGCTTTAGCAGCAGCCCTGGCTCCTGTCCAGCCTCCTGCTTCGGATGTTCCGAAACATTTTGGGTGAGGAGGAGCCACGGTGTGAGCAGGAGCAGCATCCGGGGCAGCGGGGACGGATGCTGGAGAGGTGGGGTCCAGGCTGTTGGGAATTTCTGCATTAGGAACCCCGAAACCCCTGGGGAGGAAGGGGAAGAACAAGCATCTTGTTTAAATGGCTTTGCTTGCGCCAAGAGGGGTTTGTGGCTTATTTACCTGGAAAAGAGATTATATTATAGCACAACAACTCTTTCTGAGATAAGATATGGGCATTTTTTTTTAATATTAACCAAGAAACCTTCAAACAGGAGTTGTTGTACCCTGTATCTATGCACAAATTTTACTCATTCTGGCAGTGAAGTGCTTCTGCTCTTACCCTGTGATTGATCTGGGATCTGACACGGGGGATTTTCCTCCCAGATCTGCAAAACTGAGTGCCTGAGCTGGGAATTGCTGCCCTCATCTCTCCATACTGGGATGGTATGGAAGAATTCCAGGGGGATGGATGACGAGTCCGCCTTGGGAAACAGAGGTGGTGGGCAAAACAGAGGTGGTGTGGTATGGAAGAATTCCAAGGGGATGGATGATGAGTCCGCCTTGGAAAACAGAGGTGGTGGGCAAAACAGAGGTGGTGGGAAGAGGCATTCTATTTTTTTTGAGGAGGAAAGTCTGAAAATCATAGGTAAACCCATCAGATCTCTGTGTGGCCCCTCCCTCTGACCCTGTGCTGGTGTTTCCAGCCTCAAAAACCTTGGGGCAATCGGTCTGCATAAGGTCTGAGCACAAATTCCTTAATTTCATGCTGCTTTTGACCCTCTTCCTTCCCTTTTTCCCCCCCACATCTGCAGAGGCAAAGCCACCAGCATTGATCTTTCACGAATCGGGGTGGGCTTTGATTAGTACATGCGGGGGCTGATCCAAATGTCACTGATAAAGCAGCATTGGAGAAGGCTTGATTCCCTTCTCCCTATTGATGTGTGTCTCTTCTTCCCACCTACTGCAAAGCGCAGCCTCCGTCTCGGAAGAGATTCCCACCTGGATGTGCACAAACTGGTTTCCATAGCGAAACCACTGGAGGTTTGCAACTGGTGTGAGATTTCCCTACAAACAAAGGGTTAACGGCGTCAAAAGTGTATCTTTGCATTATAGAAGTCTTGAAAAATATATATATAACAGGCAAAGCTGTAGCAGCTGGAGTTTGAAGTGCAGAGATTGTCTCTCTGAGCGATTTGGGGTTTGGAATTTTGATTTCTTTATCCCAAAAGCTCAGGTGATGGAAAAAACATCCCCTTTTCCCTGTGCTGTCACCACCAGGAAGGTGGAGAGAGCACCAGCATCATCAGCCTTTCGTGAGTCACCACACAAACTTGTGCATCCATGTTCTGGGTGGGGAATATTATGGAGTGCCTGCCCAGAGCAGCTGATAATCATGACCTTTTAACTGAATAAAATAGGAGGTAATTGTATAATTGCATCCTGATGCAGGCAATCAGGAAACAAGATGCAAAACTGGGGGCCAAGGAGGTGTTAAGGCATAAAGGTGCTGCTTTTTAACAGCCCAAATAACCCTCGTGAGCTTTTCCCCCCCCCAATCCTGGGAATATTTGGTTGTCAAGGCAAAAGGAGCAGTTTGTGGCTCAGACAAAAATAAAAACCTTTAAAACGCCCCAAAAGGCTCCGTTGATCAGCTCAGCTGGATGTCTTCAGCAAATTATTTCTGGGCCTCTGGCTTAGGGAAATTCTCATTTAAAAACCTTCGTTCCCAGTAAGTAGAATGAGGTCGTGAAGCGTGGTTTGGTTGGGTTTTTTTTTGGGGTGTTTTCTTAAAGAAAAAGAGTTGTTGGGGGAGAAGGGAAGGAAGCAGCCGTGTGAGAGCTGCGACGGCTGATGCCTGGTGGAAGAGGATTTCTTTTCAGTCCGTGCCACAAAGCCTGAGATGAACTGGCCAAGGACTGGGATGTTGTGGTGAATGTGGGAATGAGCGCAGAAATGGGGTTGAAAACCTCCTTTTGGAGCTGCTGAGACGTCACCCTGATGGAGGGTTCTCTCATCGGTGTGGAAGTGGGAAAGATGTTTCCTTCAAAGGGCTTTAAGCTTTTACTTAAATCTCCTAGTCCTTCTGTGAGTGTCTGTGACAGTCAGTGAGGGACCATCCTGATCCGTGAAGCCAGAGCTGCCAGAATACGATGAAGAGAATTATTTTATTAAATTATAAAAGCGAAACAATGATTATGACCGAAAATAGAATTTATGGAAAGAGCAGATACATCGGTAAAGACGGCCTGATAATGCCATACACCTTTGCCAGCCTAATTTTTCAAATCCCATTAACAATGGGACGCAGGAGCGTTGTCTAATTAGGGAATTGTATGTGCTCTGATTGTGCCAGGATTGAATGCAGTCTTTTATCCAGAAAAATATTCAAGAATCTGGTCAATGTTGTAAGGCATGAGCAAAGGGAGATCCGAGGGCCAAAAGCAGGACTGGGATGTGGGACTTTTCCATGCTGTTTCTTCCATGTCTACCCTTGCTTTATAATTTTCTCATAAATGCTGGGTTTTGGAAATGTAATATAAATGATGGTGTGGGTTATTGGGGCAGGGTTGGAGCAACCCCTCTTGCGTTTATCCTGGGTCTCAGGTAGCAATTCCCGAGTGGGGAGGGATCAAATGGGGACACAGGCACGAGCGCTTGGCTCTGGGCTTCAAACCCATGGGCAAAATTAGGAGAAAAGCAGATTATTGGAGCCTAGAAGCCGTAGTTGTCTTGAATTGCTACTAGGTTATTGTAAATATGTAGTAATCAATTCTGGGCTCAGTGCCTTGAAAGTCTGGGAGAGGGATCTGTGCAATATGAGGTGTGTGAGTGTAGAAACCTCCTTCCAGCCCCCCCGGAGCTGGTGGGGGCTGTTAAATGTCCTTTTGTCATCATTACCCCACCGGTCCCTGCCCCTGCATCCTTGGGGAATAACCCCAAACCCCAGGGAGCAGCCGTGGTACCGGGGAGGTGTGTTCTCACCCTCTGTGCTTCACTTTCTGCCTTTCCAGGAAGAATTGTGATGCTGAGTGACTCCATTCACTTCAATTTCCCTTTAAAACACTTCAAATTTACTTTTACATCTCTCTCCTGCGAGTTGCCGACCTTCTATATGTCCCAAATCCTCCTCTTTTTCGTGGTGTCTCTCTATTCGGTTGCTTTCCCCAGTCCTTAGCACCTCCTTCGCTTCATTTATAGCCACTTTCACTTTTCAGTTCCCCTGCTGGCCCAGAAAAGCCACATTTGGGTTGCAAACGCGGGAGGTTAAAAGCTTTCAGTGGCAGAATAATTATAAACGGGTTTGTTAGGAACATTCCTCCCGTTAACGGAGGCAATAAAATGTTATTTTCTGCAAACTTTAACCACAGCGTAATTTACCTGCTGCTGGCCCCGTTTCTGTTCGGTTTTAAAATTCAGAATTTGATATCTTTGTGTTTGTTTTGGTTTTTTTTTTGAGTTAGACACAGACGGGTGCTTTCCAGCTCCCTGGGGTTTTAGGGATCCCTCCGTGCGGCTGGAATAACTGCTTCCCTTTGCAGCCTCAGTGCTTAAACACTGGGATGTCTGAGGTGTCTGCAACTGGAAACTAACCTCAAACTGGTTTCTTTGGTGGTTTCCACTGGTTCCTGGAGATCTTTGCACCAGCTCAGGGATGTTTTTAGGTGTCAAACTGGTGACAGGTTCACGTTCTCAAAGCGTGTGCCATTTCCTTGGTGCATCAGCCTAAAGGGTAAGCTCTTCTTAGAGGCTTTAATCCAGATCTTGAAGCTCGCTGGCATTATGGGTTGTCCTTCCAGCTCTTAAAACCAAGGAGGGAAACATGATAACATTTTTTCCCCAGCAGATTTAGCCCTCAGATTGACAAGAAATAGCACAGAAGAAGAGTAAGAGCTTCTTTCCAACCCTGCCCTTCTCCACATCACCTCTTTGGAAAAACCACCGTGCAATATTTCTGTTAAAAAGGATTGGTTTGGGTTTGACTTGGGTCCTCTCCTCATCAAAGACCATCTTTTTACAGGTGTTTTGCTGCTCGGAGAGGGGATGTGGAAAGCCCTTTTCAAAGCCAGAAGGTTTTACCAAGCGTTGGGGGGGGTGTGTGTTTGGTTGTTTTTTCTTTTTTTGGCTGGGCTTTTCCTGTTTTGAACTTTTTGAACTTGAACTTCACACCACTGTAGCATAAGGGGCGGGGGGGAAGTTGGTGGGGAGGATCAAGCTGAATTTTTTCTGCTATTTAATGGATTAAAAGGCCTGTTGTACTTCTGGTCTCGCCTGCAGTGGAACATCTGGAGTCAGGGGCTGCTTTTGCTTTGGAACTCTTGAAAAATGGGTGCTTTTCGCTTAGGTTTTTTTACTGGAAGGAAAAGCTGCCCCCCCTTTTCCCCCTGGCCCCAACACACACACCCAACCCTGGAGCTGGTTTCGGTTTAAATGTGATCTCATTTGTCACTTCTCCAACCCGGGCCTAATATAGAGAAATGCTCGGGGTGGCTTTTTCCCCCCCTGAACCGCTGAAGTGAAGGCCAAGATAAGATCTACTGCCGATTATGGAGCTGGGTTTCTATCTTCCACTTTGAATTCAGCTCCTTGGGTGTCTTCCCAGAAACACTTAGTGAAGTCTAGGGATGATTAGTGCCCTATAAAAAAGGTTTTTTTTTTATTACGTGCCATCTCCTCCTTCCCTTTCTTGCAGTGCGTGCTGTATTTATGGAGTTTAAAGATCAATCATCCCAAAACGTTGTTCCTCCTTCGAGGGAACCACGAGTGCAGGCACCTCACAGAATACTTCACCTTTAAGCAGGAATGTAAGTATCAGCAGTGTAAGGATTGAAATATATTAATGTGTTGTGATTAGGTGTGGGGGTTTAATTTTTGGGCTTCCACAAGCTGTATCGATTAATTCTGGAGCTGTAAAAACCTGTATATTGTTTCCCCCTGTGTACGTAGCTCTTCTGTTTTAGCTCCTGCTAAAGAAAAAATATAAAATAAGCAAATATAGGAGTCCTGTGAGGTACTGAGTGCATGTTGGTGTGACTTTTTGGTTAGGAAGAAGGAAGAAATGGGAACACATCTTGCTGAGGAGCCAGTTGCACACAGCCCCCTCCCCTCCTTTTCCCTGACTTTCAGGCCCAGCAACGTATAATTACTGCCAAATGACTTTTCAGCTCCAGATTGTGCAGCTGGGATCAGTGATTACAATTGGAAGCAAATAAAGGATTTGTTCCTGGGTGTTTGCACTCGGGAGAATCATTACCTTTAAGATCATTTTAGTTGAGTTAAAGATAGTTCTGTGCAGTATTTTACGTATTTTTTAAAGCCAGGATGAGGAAAGGTCGGGGAATGACCCCTTTTTCCTGAGGATGATGCTCATTCCTCTGAGCAATAAAAAGGAATATAGACCAGCAACACACAACCCTTGGGTAGGGAATATGATGGGGAATGTATTGCTCAAGGACCTGACCTCAAGAAATATGTTACAGCCAAGGCACGAGTCCAATTTTTAGCTCTGGACGGGGTAAGGCTGAGAGGTACTGAGATAATGACATCTGTTTACTCCCAAACGAGTTGGAAAACACCCACTGGCTCCCATCCTCATCGGCTGGAGGTGGATGAGCTCCCGTTGAGCCGGGCTCAATTTCATCCAGAATTGATGTTTTTTTTTCTTTCCCCTTCGGAAAAGCAGAAAACACCACTTTTCTACTTCTATCTCCTAGCACGCAGCTGAACAAAAACTATTATAGCTCTGAAATAAAGCTGGATGGAAGGTCAACTTTCTATCCAGGCATTTTTTAGAGCTGTGTTTTATAGCAGTGATGTTTTTTTTTGTTTTTCCTGAAGATCTGGCTCTGGTGCCGTGCTGCTGCCCTGCGAAGGGGCCGCAGATGCGGAACGACGCGCGCTTGACGTGCCGCGATCTCCGCGAAGCCCTGAGAGATATTTCTGAACACACTCAGAGGCTTGCTGTAAAAGCTGAGCTGTTTTCGGCAAGGCTGTGGTTTCTCTCTTCAATTTATTAGAAAACTTCCTCTTCACCTCTGTGGAGGCATCCAGCAGAGATTGTCGTCGCTTGTAGCCCTGAAAGATCCTTCGTCACATCAAATCCCGACTCAAAGCACTCCTGTCCAGCTGAAAATTCCTATTTGAAATAATTTTGTAATATTCCTGTGCCAAATTAACCAGCTGATGTGTTTCCTGGTGTATAATCTGCCCAGTAGCTGAGGCTGGTGAGGTCCAGTGTGAGCATTGGGATGGCTTTAGTGGTATCTCAAGTTTTTTATTACGTGACAAGCTCCTCACCTCTTTCCTGCATTAATCTCAGTGCAGGTGTTCTAGAAAATAGCCTGAAGGGAGATTAATATTCTTGACCATGTCCAGATTGATGCAAAACCTTTTTATCTTCATGTCCAACAAGTATTTTCTACGTCAGTGGGAGCAAAGAGCGAGGTGGTGGCCGTAGACATAGAATTTATCCCTCACCTTAGGAGTTGGGCTCCTGAAGGAGTCAGAACTTTGATCAAAGCTTGGCTTAATGCTTCTATCATGTAGGTTTGGATGCATGAATGACTCCTTCTTTAAAAAAAAAAAGAAAATATTTTAAAAAAAGTTAAAAAAAGCCCCCTCTGCTTTTAGCCTGAGCAGCCTTTGTTGTGTAAATGAGTAAATTAATTCAATTTCTCCTCTTTTCCTCCCCATCTCTCCAGGTCGAATCAAGTATTCGGAGCGAGTGTACGATGCGTGTATGGATACATTTGACTGTCTTCCTCTTGCTGCCCTCTTAAACCAGCAGTTTCTGTGTGTTCACGGAGGACTGTCCCCAGAAATCACGTGTCTAGATGACATTAGGAAAGTAAGTCATCTCCACCGTCCTTTCACCTGGCTTATAATTAATCGCGTGGTTAATTGCCGGCTTGATTGGGGCACGGATTTCCAGTTTGAGGCTCACAGCACGGTCCTCACCCTCCTCATTTTGGGTGTGTTTTTTTTTTAGTTAGACAGGTTTAAGGAGCCTCCAGCCTTCGGGCCGATGTGTGACCTGCTCTGGTCCGATCCCTCCGAGGATTACGGCAACGAGAAGACGCTGGAGCATTTTGCCCACAACACTGTTCGAGGCTGCTCCTATTTCTACAGGTACCTGGGGTTTTAGGGGGGCTCTGATGGATTTAAACCTTTCAGTCTCCCCTTTCACTGAAGTATTTCAGGGGGTAAATTGCTATTCGGATCGCTCTGTGAGACTTCACAGTGCACCTGGCTCTGAAACAGGCTTCAGTTGGCTCTAATGCACAAAAATCTTGTTTGTTTTTATTTCTTCTCTAATATTGAGCTCTCTTTGGATACGTTGCTCTCTGAAATTGTGGTATCAGAGAGCAGAGCTGCCTCTTTTAGCTGGCAGAGTGCCTTTGGAATGGTTTTCAGGCACTGGGCAGTACTGGGAGCTCTAGGAAATAAGCTTTTCCTGTCTAAAAGAGGAGCATTTGTGCTGACAGACCACTTGTAGCTCAGCTGATAGGGAGGATTTGGCACCAGGGGGCTGTTTAACAGAATGCTTTGCAATTAATTTTTGGAATGATGTAATACATATTGGCCTTGTTTGGGGATGCTGGACACAAACCCAATGGATGCTGCAAAGCGGCTGCTGCTTCCTGAAACCAAAACCTTGGGTGCTCTGTGTTGCCCTGTGCTCCGTGCTAATGAATACTTGTTTGTTTTTTTTTCTTTTCCAGTTATCCTGCAGTTTGTGAATTTTTGCAGAACAATAGTTTGTTATCTGTAATCCGAGCTCACGAAGCCCAGGATGCTGGGTAAGTGCCTGGGAGCCCAGCAGCCTCCCTCTGCCTTCACCTTCTCCTCAGTGAGCCCAAATTTAACACTTGCCCTGTTTTTAAGGTACCGAATGTACAGGAAGAGCCAGACAACAGGCTTTCCATCGTTAATCACAATCTTCTCTGCACCAAATTACCTAGATGTCTATAACAACAAGGGTAAGGCTGGCTCTTTGGGTGTCACTGCTGTCCTCGGGTGCTGAGGAAATCCCTCTCCATCTTCCTTTCCTTGCCCACTCCTCCCTCTCCTCTAGTTCCCTTCTTATGCCTGAAATGAAAAAGAGCTTTCTGTGTTAAACTGATAGGAGCTGGAAGTGGCTGGGTGACTCTAAGACTTAATGTGTTACTGTGGCAATTAGCTGTCAAGTTAGAAAGCTTGGAATAATGCTTTCATTTCCAGCCACATGACATTTGATGGATGCTGCCATAAAAGAGAAACTGCCAGTAGAGGCAAGCTTTTAAATTCACCGTGCCCCAAAAATTGTAAAATCTTCCCTAAACCCTCAAAACTTTACTCTAAACCGTGGGGATTTCCTTCCCCCCCTCGCTTGACCCCGTGTTCCTCAATTTGATTTGCATAAATTTGAACAGCTTTAAATTGACCTTTGCTATTAACGATGAATAATTCTTTACTAAAACATAATGGATAAACTGAAATATATCACTTAAACCTTCTGGTTTTGGAGAGCTGGTAGTTGGATTCTGCGTGAGCCCGACCTCTCATTGATGAAGAAGTTTTAATTAGTGCAGGTAGAATTTCCAGGAGCTGATGGAGCCTCTGGATGTGTGTCACTTTCCCTTTTCTCTTCCAGCTGCTGTACTGAAATACGAAAACAACGTCATGAACATCAGGCAGTTCAACTGTTCCCCTCATCCCTACTGGCTTCCGAACTTCATGGATGTCTTCACATGGTCCTTGCCTTTTGTAGGGGAAAAGGGTAAGAGATTTTTGGATTTTGTAGTACCCTGAGTGTTAGAAACCTTTCCCATGGGCTATTAAATGTGTTGGGAGAGCATTGTAACTCATTAATACCAGACAGCACTGGAAAGCTGTCCAGGTTTAAGGAAATCTGCGTATTACTGGGTAAAATTATTGTGAAAATAATTGTCAATACCTGTTTTAGAGAGCTTTTACTAATAAAAACCATCCCTTCTTGCTATTTCTTCATGGCTGGTGGAGCTGATCTCGGGTGGTGCAGCCCCACCTTGGAATTTGGAACCGTTTCTCTTGCTCTGGGTTGGCAACAGAGAAATTAAAATCTTCCTGTTGGCTTGTGGCCCACCAAAAAGGAAGCATTCACTTCAATTTAAAGGCTTAGTTCATCCCGAAGGAGGCGAGGCAGCTTAAAATAATATGACGAAGATTTTTGCCTCAAATACTCAGCAAAAGGATTTTTACCTCTTTAAATTCCACCCGGTGTCGTACGTTTGCGATACGACTTCAGGGTCTGAAGTGCCCTTGACTTTGAGGAACCAAAGGTTGAATTTTCTTCCCCATAACCCCCAAATTTGACATTTTTTGGAGGCAGGTGGCCTCTTGTGTGGGTCGGGGTGGGGAGGTGGGACCCTCGGCGAGGCCAGGCTGTTGTGTGGGGAGCATTGGCACCCCATCTCCCCACGTCTGGTTCAGCTCTGATGTGCTTGGATTGCATCCACCTCCTTGGCAGAAGGTGTAAAACATGTCTGCTCCGGGTACCAGCAGTTTGGCAGCTAAAAAACCTCTTTGGGTTTCTACTTCCAGAGGATAAATGACCTTGAAATCCCTTGGTTTGTCCAAATACCTCCGTATGCCTAACGTGCCTCCTCTAATCTTCCTGTCTGTGCTTCTTACAGTCACAGAAATGCTCGTTAACATCCTCAACATATGCTCCGATGATGAGTTGATTTCAGATGGTGATGAGACATTGGAAGGTAAAAAAAAATATGCTCTTACGACCCAGCTCTGCTGAGCGTGGCCCCCTCTAATCTTCCTGTCTGTGCTTCTTGCAGTCACAGAAATGCTCGTTAACATCCTCAACATATGCTCCGATGATGAGTTGATTTCAGATGGTGATGAGACATTGGAAGGTAAAAAAAAATATGCTCTTACGACCCAGCTGGTAACGGTGCTTTGGGGGTGGGTGAAGGTGGGGAAGATGGAACTCAAGAGCCATCAGCACTTGGTTTATAACCAAGGTCTTTATATAAAAAAAAAGACCCAACCAGGGTCTCCAGTTCCTTTTTGGCCAACCCTTGTGCATTTCTGGGTAGAAAACATTTCTTTCTTTTCTTTTGCTATTCAGTCACAGAGAAATTAAATTACATTCACTGCGACAGACGCTTCTTGCCAGCTCCTCTGGAGAATGGTTTCCTGCTCCTAAGTGGTTATTTTTTTTCCCCCAATTCAACGTTTTCTACACCCAAAATATCTACCCCATTTTCTCATCTGTTGCAGTGAACTCTAAAGCGGCTTCTCATGTCACACCCCCCCCTCCCCCAAAAAAAACCCCAAGCAGAATGCAGTTTTTGGCCCCATTTTTTAAGCTATGCATGAAAGGGACAAAACAGTTGCTGAGCTGATCTGCAGGTTTTATATCGGGGTGGAGGGGGGCTCATTTGTGAGCGAGGAGCTGGCCAAGAAGAAGATGTGGGGCTGTGAAACACGCATGGGGGGAGCCCGGGGAGCTGCCTGCCCCCATCCCTGTGGGGTGGAGGATGCTCAGACCCCAAAGAAGCAGAAACTCGTGGTACGAGTCCAAGGTTGAGACTTTAACCCGCTTCTCCCATTGCATTTCGTTTTTTGGTTTTTTGGTTTGTTTGGTTGTTTGTTTTTTTGGTTTTGTTTTTTGTTTTTTTTTTCTCTCCCTCCCATGAAAATTAAATTTGTTTCTTCTATCTCTGTCTTCATCTACTTGTTTCTTGGTGTCTCCTCTCCCTGAAGATCACTACATTTCAAGCTATCCGAAAGGTACCCAGCTAGACTTTGCTACCAGCTTAATTTTCACTGCCTGTGCCACCAGATTCCTGGGAGTGGATTTGAATAGCTGACTAGTCGGGCAGTCTCTTCATTCCCCCTTTTCAGTTTTAACATAAGCGCCGTGTTGTTTTTTAACCCTTCTGCTGTTCCTTCAGGAACCTCGAGAAACGGGGGCACGTTTCTTATCTGACTTCTTGAATGCAGCCACTTAGTGCATGGCTGAGCCATGGGTGCATGTGAGACCCTCTGGTTTGGCTTTGTCCTGTCCTAATGTGTCAGTTGGGCCATGTGAGGAATCTCAGCTGAGAGGAGATGTTATTTGTTACCTCTTTTTCCTTGGATTTTTGGAATTTCTTTTTTTGTTCGTTTGGTTTCAGTTTCCCCTCCATGCTTTTTTTTCCTCTCCTGTAGAGCGGAAGGGGGGAGTTTCACATATCTCACTCTTTGTGTT